CTGCCCCCCACACACACACACACACACACACACACACACACACACACACACACACACACACACACACACACACACACACACACACACACACACACACACACACACACACAGTGTCGCTGCAGAGTGTTGATCGAGTCCTGCGGTGAGGAGAACCATCGCCACCAGAAACACAACTCAACAATTCATGTCACGAGCAGAAACACTCGAGGGCTCCTTCCAGAGAAGAGGGGCAACACGGAGCTGATCCTCTCCAGGCTGCACACATTGGAGATTAGCTCCAGATGTTCAGCCTGTCACTGTTAAACCATCACGAGCGACCATTTGCATTTAGTGTCTGGTCTGCATCTGGTATTGAGTGATAATCAGGGCCAAAGCTAATCATTTTTTCCATTTCAGATTCATCTTTTGCCTTCAAAATGTCACTAAATAGAGAAAAACTGTGCCTTATTTTCTTAATTTGGACAAAATAAATGTTTTTTCCAACTTCTCACTCATGAGTGATCACTATTGTAATATAAAAATAACTAAATCTGGTATTGTGTTAAGGCTGCACACGCTGGTCATCCTCTGTGTGGAGATGAGCTCCAGATGTTCACCCTGTCACTGTTAAACCATCACGAGCGGCCATTTGCATTTAGTGTCTGGTCTATGTTTGTGTGATAATAAGGGCCAAAACTAATCATTTCTTCCATTTTAGATTCAGCTTTTGACCTTAAAAATGTCATGAAATAGTTAAAAGTTTGAGAAACACCCATGAGTGATCATTGTTGTGATATAGTAAGAACTGAATCTGGTATTGAGTGATACTCAGGGCTGCAACTAACACTTTTTTCCATTTTGGAATAATCTTTTTGCCTTCAAAATGTCATAAAATAGTGAAAACTGAGCTTAATTTTCTTAATTTGGACAAAATAAATGTTTTTTCCTACTTCTCACTCATGAATTGTAATATAAAAATGACTAAATCTAGTATTGTGTTCAAATCAGGGCGGCAACTAAAACAAATCTCTATTGTCGATTGATTATTTGCCAATAAAAATGTAGTGAAAAAGTGGGAAATGTCCACATTCTTAGCTTAACAAACATCAGTTTAATATATACTGTTTAAATAATATAACAATGAATAAAAGGGTTTCCTACTTGGTATTTTGAATTGGTTTTCTGTGTGAAGTAAGTCACATTTGATATCTTATACACTAATAATTGATTGATTTAAACGTGTAGCATTTGAAAATGATTCCTTTTATTGAATTTTTGAATCAACATTCATTTAGATATTTGATCAAACACTGCAGAATGAAACCCTCAGACAGAGCCGTCTCCGTGTGAGTAACGGTGTGTGTTCAGCTTAATGTGCAGGAAAAACATCCATCAGGCTTTAATCCTGAGAAAATATGAATCCCTCCGCATGGCGTCTCGATGTGTCTCCGAGGAATGTCCATCACCTGCGTGCCAACGTCCAAAAATCATTTTCAAAGTGTTTAACTTCAGATTATGAGTAACATAAACCAGGAGTCATAATTTACGAGCGACAGGTGCAAGGGTCAAAGTCTGGTTTGTATCCATCAAATGTAGAAAAACAAAGCGCACAGGTAGTGAGAAATGTGCAACAATATGGAGCGAGTGGTTTGAAAAACGAGGATAACGTAGGGTTAATACCCAAAAAGCCTTTCTCCAGAGACTCAGAAATCACCCCTTAAGCCCCGAGCAGACAATTTATGATGCAATGAGCTTTTTCTTCCTGTGAAGATCTGACAGTCCGGAGATTTAGAGCCCGGATATACTCACAGAGATTTAAGGCGACATCCCTTTACAACATGACGTCTGAAGGAATGCTTTCACCGTTAATAAACATAAGTCATATCAGGGGACTCTCGTTTTTTATACGTCTGCATTCGACCACGCGGCGGAAAAAAGTAATTAAGATAAGAACGGAAACCTCAGATCAATCTCCATTTTCCCCCATGACCAATAAATTGTAATCACAACGACCTCCCGCGTGATTACCTTTTGTTTGTTAGATTTATTCGGTTTGGGATCTTTTCTCTCCCTGAGTAAATAGCTCCAGCCCATCTGTTGGAGGGGTGTTGGGGGTATTGGCTGGAGATAAACAGCCATAAATCTCCACGGTGATATACGACAGGCAGCTCGCTTGGAGAGCTCAAGACAAATACTGAGGCTATCTGTGGGAATGGCAGCCAGTGAAATCATTATTTTTCTAATGAGATAAGTTTGGTATCGTTAGAGGCCGCCGCTACACCGTCAACACCAGAGGAGTGTGTTTAGTCTGAGGGCCGAGACACGCAAGGTGGAGGTGTTCAATCTCTGTCAGGGACAAAGAGAGGAAGAGGAGGAGGAGGCAATGTGCAGAGAGGACGCTGAGTCATGGGAGAGGAAGGGTTATGAAATCAATGCTTAGATCTTATAAACACGGACACCACAAATAATTATTTCTTCCATTTTAGATTCGCCTTAAATATGTTTTAAAATAGTGAAAACTGTGAGGAAGACTCATGAGTGACCATTGTTGTGATATAGTGAGAACTAAATCTGATATTGAGTAATTATCAATATTCTTTTTTAAATTTTCGATACATTTTTTGGCCTTCAAATTGTCATAAAATAGTGAAAAACTGTACTTGATTTTCTTAATTTGGAGAAAAATCGTTTAAATATTGCTGCAGTAAAACACACTTTCAAATAGTCTTTATTAAGTCAGTTATGAAATCAATGCTAAGATCTTATGAAAAAGGAAACCAAGAGCTCTGCCTAATCTCAGGGTTGGGTTTAAGCTTTTTCTTTCCACATATCAAAGCTTTCTGAACACTCAAAATGAGCAGTGCTAATCGTTTAAATATCGGTGCAAGTAAAACACTTTCAAACAGTCTTTACTGCGAGGTAGTCAGCACAACAAGCACTTCAGATCAAGCTTAAGGGTAGCTTAATTAGCACAGCGTCAAAAGAAACAGTGCCTCATTCACTTCAATGAGACAAATGCATTGGCACAGCAGGGGGGCTCCACAGGGGGGCTCCAAGAACAAAATGCCAGCTTGTCTTCAGCACATGAATCCAACATTTTGCCCCAAAACAAATCATCAGGAAATGCAATTACGACACGCTGTGTTTTCTAGCAATCCGAGCAGCATCATCTTCTGATTGGCCTCATCACTCCCTCGTCACCTTCATCCTTTCCTCGCCTCATCTTCAGATAACAACCCGGCGCTCTCCATCAATCCAGGAGCAACCTGACGCCCCACGGACTCTCGACAGATCCATCCATCTATCTATCTTGAGTTCAAAGACCTTGGACGGACGGACGCTCTGAGTTTCTGACGCGGAGTGACACGAGCGGATCATTTCTCTGCGCCTGCTGTGGTCTTAATGGCTTCGGCAACAGAAGGTTCACTTCCATCGGCGTCCTGACCAAACAAAGAGTCCCCCAGGAGTCCTGATGGATCGCTGGATCGCGTGGACCAAGGGAAGCAAAGGTTTTGGGAACGGTGACAGTCGAGGAAAAATGAAATGTTTGGTGGGAAAGGAAGCAGAAGTAGAAGCTTCGATTCCTTCTCCGTCACTTTGAAGACACCAGGGAGGTCCTAAGTGATGTGGAGACCACCAGCTCATCATCCGCCCTCTTTTTTAGATTAGCTTTTGATTAGCAACCCCCCACTTCAAATGTTCTCTTAGTTTTTATATTGTTTTATTTATTTTATAGGTCTTAATCTTTTGATTTTGTATTTCTGTTGTATCGATATGTTCTCGCTGTTTTATGGGTTTTTATATTTTATATTTAAGCAATAGCTCACGACAGGGGGTTGTGGGTCGACAACCCCCTTAGCTGCATGCATGCATGCAGTTTGCTTTCAGCCCAACAGTTAAATCGACCGGACTTCTTTCTGCAGATGTGAGCGTCCTTAACAACGGTCAATAAGTCCTTGGTGCACATTATCCTTTACATGTTTCCATCTTAAGCTTTGTTAGTTAGTTAGTTTCGTAACGGACGTAATTTAACAGTTGTAGCTTTTCTCAGACGCGGAGGGATACTGACTTGTTGTGAAAAGTAACTACAATTCTACCCGTGGTATATGCTCATTATATCACGGCTAAGAACCAATCAGATTGCTTGATTTGACTTGTCCGTTTTAAGATGTTGCATCGACTCAGTTGCCTCGTGTCTGTCAGAGAGAAACCATTATTTATTGTTATTATCATACCTTTCCCCTCCTGGTGTCTCTCAACCTGATTACATGTTATATTTTGCTGCATGGACCTTTTAAAGTTCTTAACAAATAATCTGAGGGGAGTTTCTTGTTGTGTGTTTTTAACTTGTGTCATTCTTTAAAGCACGTTGAGCTCCACGTGTTGTATGAAAAGTGCTATATAAATAAAGCTTTGTTGTTATTATTATTATTATTATTATTATTATTATTATTATTATTATCATACCTCGACCTAAATTTTTTACATCGCCGAATAGTCATAAAAATGTAATAAAAAAAGTTTAAATCTGTGCTTAATTTTGACAGATTTCCTCCATCGTAAAATTCAATTATTAAATAAATATATATATAATTTAATAAAAAGCGTATGTCACTTGCTTGAAGAAAGAGAGAAGCCTAGTTTGTTCCATGTTCTCCTGGCTTTAACACACGAAAGCACGGACAACAGATCAGGGAGTACAGTGAGGTGTTTCCATCTTTAAAAAGCAGAGCCAGACTCTCCGTTCTCCGGCTTGAGAGTCCAGAAGAACTCCTTTCTGATCTTAAATCCAGGCCAAGAGCATCAGCAGGAGATTCCACATCTTCCTCTGATCCTGATGCATGTGTTTGGACGTCTGCATTATCTACGAGAGGGTGGTTTCTTCTCCATTTGACAACTTTATCTGGTTGGCTTTGGCAGGAAACTATGTCTCGAGAACTCTGCAGGTGCACTCACAAAAATGCAAAGAAATAAAGTTGTGGAGATAAAGATTTGAAAGCACATATTCCTGCGTTTGGAGCATGGATTTAAAAAGCTGGAGACAAATCAACTTGCTGAAGTGTCAGGCTGGGAAGAAAGTGGATTTGGACGTCGACTTTATCTACGAGAGCGGGGTTTCTTCTCCATTTGACAACTTGATCTGGTTGGCTTTGGCAGGAAACTATTTCTCAAGAACTCTGCAGGTGCACTCACTTAGAGGCAAAGAAATAAAGCAAAACATTTGGCGGGATAAAGTTATAAAAGCGAACGTTCCTGCGATTTGTGCATGGATTTAAAAAGCTGCAGACAAATCAACTTGCTGAGTGTCAGGCTGTGCAAGAAGTGGATTTCTAAAGGAACCGGACACACCAAGACGATTTTGGCCGACGCTCAAAATCAGAGCCGTGCCGACGCCTTTTCGGCCGAAAACCCACCGATTCCACATGTCGAATCGGTGGGCAGTCGGCCAAAAGCTGTCGGTCAAAAGAAATCACTCTGATTGGCTGTTCAGCTTAGCGAATCAGTGCATGGGAAGCGAAACGGAAGTGAGGGACCCAAACAAACGGCAAGAAGGCAAATGTGAGATTTCATTGAACTCCAGCTCTCGACACAGGTTTGGGAAAGCCCCATGAGCTTCTCGCTGTAGAGTGAAAATGGAACACACACGCAGTCTGTGTTCCGGTTGTTGCCTCTTTTGAATGACGAATACACACTACCGCCGCCTGCTGGTAAGGAGAGTTATTGCCACTCACGCATGCACGTGCTAATTGGCCGTCGGCTGAAGTCTTTGCGGTGTGTTCCAGTGCGACTGGCCAAGACGCAGGAGACGTGAGGCGACACAACAGTCGGGTCCGTCGGGACGTGTTCTTTGGTGTCAGTTTGGTGTGTCCGGGCCTTTACGTGTTATAATTGTGAATCAAAGCCATGGAGGTTATGGTTATGGTGCTGTTTGTTGGTTGGTTTGTCTCTTAGCAAGATTACAGAGAAACTACAAGCTTGATGTTCATGAAACTGGGTGACATGTTGGAGAATGGGCCCAAAAAAACCGTCTGAATCACAGTTTTCACATCAGACATCAAATCCTGAATACAAAATGTTGAATCCGGCCTGATGTTCATGAAACTTGTGCTAATCACACATTCAAAAATAATTCTTCCATCACACATTCACAAGAGAATAAAGGCCTTTACATTAGTCAAACAAACCCAGACAGAAGAGGCAACACCCAAATAAAATGATAAACGCAATGACATCATCTTTCTTTCTTTTTTATGTTATATAATTTAACTTTTAAAAAACCATGTCTCAACAGCTTTTTATGTCTCTTAAAAGCTGGCACTGTGGGTATTGTAGTCTTTTAAAATCCCTTGACTACAAAGGTCGCCACTAGGTGACATTTCATTGGACCTTTTCACAAAAACTGGCTAAAAAAAGGGTGATTTTACGTAAAGAAAAGAATAAAAGTAATAAAAAAAGGAGGTGGGTGGTAAAAAATGTTAAACTAAACCAAAATACAAGTACATAAAAAAAAAAAAATTAAAATCATATAAATGGGGATTATAATCAAACACTAACTTCTAAGAGATTTATAGTTAGAGATAGAAAAAAACAAAAATGATGTATTGTTAGATTAAAGCTGATTTAATTACAGTAATATATATATATATCCTGCTGAATATCTTTTGCTCCGCAGGTTTGAAAAGCTGGACATCACCCCTAAGAGCGCCCAGAAGCTGAAGCCGGTTCTGGAGAAGTGGCTGGCCGAGGCGGAGCACTGGAACCAGAAGGGACAGCAGAACCTCATGGAGTTCGTCGGCGGAGAACCGTCCAAAAAACGAAAGCGGCGCACGAGCTTCACGCCGCAGGCCATCGAAGTCCTGAACTCATACTTTGACAAGAACGCGCTGCCGACGGGACAAGAGATCACGGAAATGGCTCGAGAGCTGAACTACGATCGAGAGGTGGTGAGAGTTTGGTTCTGCAACAGGAGACAAACGCTGAAGAACACGAGCAAAATCAACGTCTTCCAGGTCCAGTAGCAACGTCTACTTCTGGAGATATTTCACACAGAAACACAGCGAAGGACTGTGAGGAGAATACAAGCCAAGTGGAAAAATATGAACTTTGGTAACACTTTATTTTAAGGTACACATATTCACCATCAAGTAGTTGTTCATCAACATGCATATTAGCAGCTCATTGGCTCTGTATTAGTCATTATAAAACAGGCCTTGTTCTACATGACCATATTCTACAAGTACTAGGCCATTAGTTAAGAGTTTGTCCTCAATAACCCTCTAATTAGTGCTTATTTATTGTAAGTAAGGACGTTGTTGTACATGAGTTTGGGTCTTAATATGCTCCGCTCAATATGGGCCTAATAACTCTCATAATAACACCTAACAAATATGGTGTATTCTTATGTAACAAGACATGAAACTAAAAGTGTTAATTGTGTCAAAGTAACTCAAAATGAGGTTTTTCTAACTCAGAATAAGTTCCCTATTTTAAAGTGAAGTCTTGTTCATAACCAATAAGCTAGTAGTTTGACTCTAATGTGTAAATGAACCACTAGATGACGGTGAATATGTGTACCTTAATCTAAAGTGTTACCTGAACTTTTTAAGATGAAGAGAAATGACTCATAAAAGAGTTCTAATAACAAGTTTCTATCGTATTTTAAGATATGTGTACACAACTCCTGTGAAGTCAAACTGCATGGTCCTTTAGAGTGATGATAATAACATTTCATATTTAATAATATTTGAACTTTTATACAAGTGGTTTTATAGGAAAATCCCTCTGAATCATCAAAGTGGCAGTGCATTGAGTCACATTGATTTTAGTCGCATAATTGTCACTTTACGCTGATATTTGAAGAACCACCATGGATGTTTTTAAAAATTCTCCTTTATTTTATATTTACGTGGTAGTTGTGCTACATTGGCAGCTTGTAAAACCTAAATAGGATGCTGTAGACTGAAAAACAACCCTTTATTAATCAGAATTCGTCGTCTAATTAACACCAAAAATGAATTTTCCATCCATGACTCTGCAGCCATGTTTGGGGACAATCACCATTTTTATATTTCTTATTGAAAATCACAAAAAATCTGCATTAATTTCCTCTCGTTCGGCTTTCATATTTTTATTGAGCAGCATAAAATAAATGTGCCACACCGTCGGGGGTCCAGAGGGAATGATTTTTGACAAAAACTTGACTATTGCCCATGAAGCCACAACTGTAAACTAATCAGTTTTTATAATGTTACTTTCATACTGTGTGTGTGTGTGTGTGTGTGTGTGTGTGTGTGTGTGTGTGTGTGTGTGTGTGTGTGT